GATAATGCTATTACATAGGATAGTGGAAAGTGACCTAAAGCCTGCGCTGGTTGAAGTGGGTTTGAATCTTGAGTCTAATACTACCTGTATGAGGTCATTTAATTATTCTCTGCCTCAGTTTCCTTATCTATAAAGTGAAGGTGTTGGATAAAACAATCCCTATGGTTTCTTCTGTCCATGGTAGTCAAAAGTGTAATTACTTCCAGAAGCTAGTCTTGGACATAAAGTGCAGCTCATAACCAGGATATCCATCATATTCCAAAGTTATATTAGTCTTTCAGGACAGTATTTTTAAAGAACTAAATATAACAAAAAGGGGGGAAAAGGTCATTAGCTCTTTAATAGCCTTCATCATTTTCTCTAACTTATCAGCCCCAATACCAATTCTCCACCAGTCTATGTATTTGCATTATCCAGGAAAACCCATTTTAGTATTCTTTTTTTTTCTTATGCATAGATTTTTTATTCTTCATCATCTAACATAGCTCAATGACTGACAAATCTGAATGATTTGTCAAGTCATAGAGGATTACAGGATAATAGATTTAAGGATGAATGGGACCTTTGAAGTCATTCTAGTCCTACTTCATTTTATAGAAAAGAAAATTGAGGCTTAGAGAAGTAAGTGACATCCCCAAAATCAGACAGGGAATAAATGGCATAATTTGAATTTGAACCCAGCACTTCTGAATCCAAGTCAATTAATTAATCAAACAACAAGCATTTATTAATCACTTTGGTGCAAAGAACTTTACCAGGCACTGATGATACAAAGGCTAAAGTGAAACCGTGCCTGTCTTTAAAAGAGCATTTTTATTCTATAAAAACATAGTAGTATGGTACAGTTGTTTGCAAATTACTTTGGCCAAGAAAAAAATTTAACATGCTTTCATTTTGTCATCTTCTCTAAACAGGTTTGTTCTCCAAGGCTCTGTTATGGGTCTTCTTCTCATCTTACTCTGTATTACCTTGCTTGTTGATCTCATCAGCTCCCATCAGTTCAATTACTGTCCCTATACAGATGATTCCTATGGTTATAAAATGAGCCTCCTTTCTCTCCTGAGCTCTAGTCTCACATTACCAAACTGCCTTTTAAATATCTCTAATTTGATGTCCTATAAGCATGTCAAACTCAATATCTCCAAAACTTAACTCGTATCTACTCCTAAGCCCTCTTGTCTTTCCATGCTTTCCTATTACTTTCAAGAGTACTACCATGTTTCCAGTCTTACCCAGCCTCATGAGGTTAATATTTTCTTTGACTCCTTACTCACTCTCAAACCGTATATCCAATAAGTTGTCAAGATCTGTTATTCTTTCTGCCCCAAATCTCTGGCAAATACCCACATTTTCTTTACTCACATAGCCACCACCCTCATATAGGCTTTCCTCATCTCAAGACTAGATTATTGCAATAGCCTTCTGATTGTTCTCACTGCCTCAAGTCTCTCCTTTTTCCAATCCATCTTCCACTTAGCTGCCAAGGTGATTTCCCAAAAGCACAGATCAGTTCTGACCCTGTTACCCCCATTAATTGATATACTCAATTGGCCCTCTATTACTTACAGGATCAAAAAGACAATCCTCTATTTGGCATTTAAAGCTCTTCAAAACCTGCCTTCTTTTTTGCCTTTTCAGCCTTTGTAAACTTTACTACTCTCCACATATTGTACTATGTAGCCACATAGTCCTATTCCCAAGTCCTTGCACAAGACACTCCATATGTTGACCCCATGTCTTTTCAGTGGCCATCCCTCATACCTATAATGATTTCCTGTTTCATCTCAGCCTCCTAGGTTCCCTAGTTCCCATCTTGAGAGGCCTTACTGAGGCCTTCCCTCCCCAAATTCTAGTGCCTTCCCTCTGATATAACCTATTCTCTCTCTCCATATATATACATATATATGTATATTTATATATATATATATATACACATATATACACACATATATATATACACACACATATGTATATAAATAATATATGTACACACATATATGTATATACATACACAAATACATATATATGTATATTATATATATATATATATATACACACACACACATATAATGTATGTACATTACTTTTGCATGTTGTTTTCCCCATTTTAATGTAAGTTGTTGATGCCATTTAAAGTTCTGTTTTTGCCTTTCTTTGTATCCCCAGCACTTGGTTGGTTATTGTCCTTCATTCTCAAAGAGGACCAAAATGACATCACTATACAAAAGTCAAGTTTCATTGAGTCCAACTGTGACTGATCAGACTAATACAAGCTAGGAATGCTCTACCACAGGTCGGGTACAAATAGTCTGTGTGAACATTTGGGGTGGTTTCTCTAAATTTGTGCATCCTGAATTTCCTTTGAGCTTTTTCCAATTCTGCTTCACTCACAGAGGACAGCACCTTCTCTGATGTGGGGACACCATGCTGAGCTGTCCTGTGCCAGTGTCTCCCATGTCACACAATCAATTCCAAAGTTTTTAAGAGAGTCCTCGAGAGTGTCCTTGTATCTTTTCTTCTGACCACCATGTGAATGCTTGCTCTGTGTGATTTTCTGCCAGGAAACTGAATTGCTTCCATTTGAATTGTCTTAGGAAGATTCTGAAGATCACCTGGCAGGATAAGATACCAGACACTGAGGTCCTTTCTCAAATTAAACTGCCAAGCATTCAAACTCTGCTTCAGAGAGCTCAACTCCGATGGACTGGCCACATTCGAATGCAAAATGCACGCTTGCAAAAAAAAAAAAATTCCCCAGCACTTAGCACAGTGCTAGACACAAAGTAAACATTTAATAAGTATTTGTTGCCTGACTGAATGTGACAGCAATGGTCACATAAGTGTACATCTATTGACATTAAGCTTATTCTGTAGTCTGACTTTGACCAGATGGAAACATATTTACCTATTTTCTCTACCTCTAGTTAGTTCTCCGTCAACTGACTGCAGTATTTCATTCCATACACACGTTTCATTCCATTATGCTTTAAACAAATGGATTTCACTGCAAGGAAATGTGTCAGTTGTAGCTTTCAAAGTGTATGCTTTTAATGTCAGACATATTGCAAATGACTTCGGAGTTCACTTAACTCAACATATTTTTCATATGATGAAGTCAGGCATTCAAGGATCATTCATGATCACGATACAATAGGGTCAGTTTGACCAAAATGCAAAGTAAAGCATAGCTAAACATAAAAATAAATGTCAAGAACTGACAGATTATTGCTATGAAATGCCATAATTAATCCTCGGATGATAAGCAAATACCCTCAGAAGGACCTGGTAGGTAGCTGGATTGTTATCAATTCTTTTTTTTTTTAAAGGCAGCTGGGTTAAGTGACTTGCCCAGGGTGACATAGCTAGTAAGTGTCAAGTGTTTGGTCTGAGGCTGAATTTGAACTCAGGTCGTCCTGACTTCAGGGCTGGTGCTCTATCCACTGTGCCACCTAGCTGCCCCCATAATCAATTCTTTCTAAATAAAACGTAGACTTCTTGAATTTGGAAGAACAAGAAGATGGCTAACTGCTGCTATGAAGAACAAAACACTTGTCATAAGTAAGACTCTAAAAAGACAAGAGAACCAAAAGCTGGAATAAAGGTAATTCTTATTCTTTCTTACAAAATTTGTGCAAGTGATAAACAGATAAAAATGGCCTGATAACTTAACTGATTTAAGTCCCATTAAAAACTTATGGGGTATAATTAAGGGTAGACTTGGGTAAATGGACTGTTCATCAAGGATACTAATATAATATAATGTACATTTCCAAGATGAAAAAAGTTTTCAAGTGTCACAATCTTATAAACTTAATGTGAAATTATGTAAAACAGAAAAAAAGGCTGCATGGTAAAAAGATTTTCCTTTAAAATGAAAAAAAAAATCCTTTACTTTGTCCAAGTTAATGTCAATACCACTGCAATATATTGGTATAACCCCAGCTTCCATAGCACTCCAACAGAGATGTGTATATTAGATATTACTGTATCTTTAGGAGGGAAAGAATAGACTCTTCAGGAGTTGCAACCGTAATCGTAATTCTAAAGACAGTTAACTGTCATGGTGAGAGAGACTGTGTGAGGCACAGAGGGAAAAAGAATTAAGTGCACTTCTTTTGTGAGACACTGAGTTAATTGTTAAGGAAAAGTCTGAAGGGATATTTTGAGTAAACTACATTTAATTCTGATTTTGTGAAGAGACAGTATATTAAAAGTACTCTTTAGTGACTTGAATTACCACTCTAAAATAACTGTTTTCAGAAATTGAAGAGAAGTTAGTGGCAGTTATCATGTCTCCTCTTGCTTTTGAAGAGCACAGAAGTGAATCTGTCTCTGAACCTTAGTTATCATCACTACACTGCAAATATTTACTTGTTTTTTATAATTACTTGCTACTATGATAAATTATATAAACAGTAACACTGATGTCTAGATCTATGGGACTAGAGGATTTGAGCATGTGTGAGAGAAAAAGCAGTGAATATTTACAGAAAAAGAGTTTTCCCTGGTTTATTTATGAACTAGGAAGGGGGCTTGGAGCTAATTGATCTATTAATAAAATACATCATACATTTCTAGGAATTTATAAGGAAATATTAGAACATATCTTTTGACTGCCTTAGAACAAGGTGTAAGAACTGATAAAAAAAAAATGAGCCAGAAATGAACAAAAAGGGATGAGGCATCTTATGATTATTACGTAATGCACAGAACAACCATCCACCATTCCACTGAGGTTACAAGTGGACCACCCTCCCAAATCCCATTTTATAGACATAAACATACATTCAAAATTGATCCATGATGGTTTGTCTGAGGGGAGGGGAGAGGAGAGCAATGGCAGCTGGGAAGGCATTACATAGGTGGCTTTTGATGAATACTGAAGAAGAATGAAGATTCTAGGGAGTAGAGGTGAGGACAGAGGGCATTCTAGGCAGAGGGGATACATCACACATGAAGAACAATAAGAAGGCAGTTCCACAGAATGCTGAAGGGGGACTGTTGTGTAATGATGCTGCAAAGGTAAACTGGAGCTAGGCTGTAAAAGCCTTAAAATGTTAATCAAGGGTTCATATTAGAACTAAGGGGAGAAAGGAAAGATATTATCAGACCAGTATTTTGGGAAAATTACTTCAGTAGTTGTGTGGAAGATGGATTTTAGTGGAAAGAGACTTGAGTTGGGAAGTCAATTAAGAGGCAATTATTAGGAAAGGTGGTGAGGGCCTGAGCTAGGATAGTGGTTGAGCGTGTGTGAATAGAAGGGACAGATGTAAGTAATATATGCTTTCCACTGAATCATGCTGCCTCCAATTTGACTGGGAAGCAAGACCGACCTTTTCGGCAATTATTTTAACGTCTCTGCTCATATTCCCCTAAATATTGATGAGCTGAAATTGTGAACAAAATAAATAAGAAAAACAATGTTACGTCTTATTTGAATGGCTAACACCTAACCATAACAACCTTTAGAAGTAAAAAAAAAATCTGAAATTGGAAGACAATGGTTTCATTTTTAATGTGAAAATAAACTCCTATTTTTGAGTTTATAGAAGGCTTATAAACCTAGGAGAACTTTGACACTCATGGGCTTTCCATTAGCAAAGAAAAAAGATCATAAGATTCACAGCTAGAAGGGACCAGCTTCAACATCATCTAATGAAGTCCAACTCCTACATTTTATAAATGAGAAAACTGGCCCAGACAGATGAAGCAACCTGGCCAAGATCAAACAACTAGTAAGTAACAAATGGGGAACAGAATCTCCTACTCCAATCTTTCACTGCTCCATATTTCCTCTTACATGCTACTTCTATTTTGACTAAATGAAAGGAGAATAGGGGCAATATTCTAATCTGTTTTATATATACATATACTTCCATACACATACACACACACTTGATTCTCCTTCCTGTTACTAGTTTCTCTGTGGGAAGGAATAAATGTCTATCTACATCATCTTTTTTTCTGATTACAATTGCTATAGAGACCAGTGGGAAGCCTAAAATACTTTCATCTTCCAAAATAAAATTCACTGCTTTCTCCAGGAGGTCTTTCCTGGCTAAGGTGAGCTTGGATTTAAGGAACTAATAAGACCCAACTAAAGTCATTCATATTGATAATCATGTTCAGATGTATATGCTATTATGTGCCATACTCTCTTAATGTGCTTTTGTGAAGATGATGGTTAAGACCGGAACTTCCCCCCCAATACACCCCCCCCCAAAAAAAAGAGATCAAATTGTTCCTTACCAGATCAAAAAGAGTACATTCTCTTTCAGTTTACAGTCAGGGTCAGCTGGTTTGATAATTCTCATACAAAGTTAAACAAACAGAAGCTACATCTTCCTGCTTTCATCTCATTTTATTTCATTTAAAAGCAATTATTGCAGTTACTCAAAACAACACTATGGTGTAATCAAATTGGAAAATCGACAGTACTCAATTCATAACAAAAGAAAAAGACACAGAAAATCTTTGTGCATGGTACAAAACAGTTGAGCTAATCAGAAAACCAGACAAATAGTCTTCCAATGAAATTTTTCTACAAAAGTGGATGCTTTTGGTTATTGCTACAGATGGAAAAAAATGAACCACGCAGAGCTTTAACATGAAATCTGGATGTTACACTTACAAATAAGATTAATATAGTATTTCATTTACACATGGTATGCCAAGATTTGATGAATTTGACTAAAATTCTATTTAAACTTTTAAAAGAGTTAAAATGTTTTCTTGATCCTTTATTTAGTCATTACCTAATGCCAGAAAATGATTGGCTAAAGGAACTTGGGGCATTTGGTTTGGATGGAAGCTTCATACATTTGAAGGGCCATCCTATAGGAGACATATTAGACTTATTCTGTGTGGTTCGTGATGGCTGAAGTGGGTGGAGGGGGAGGATGAGAATTCTGATCTCACAATCTCATATATTTCCAACTGCTTAGGGAGCAAATCACAGACACCTCAAATCTGACATCTCCAAAACCAATTACATCATTTTTCCCCTTCAAAACTGCTCCTCTAACTTCCTGATTTATGTTGATGTTATCAACCTTTCTCTCCTAATGTTGATGTTATCAACTTTTCTCTCCTAATCCAAACTGGAAACCTCAAAACCACTCCACCATCATTAAACAGTCTTTTAGCATTATGTAACCCTGGTTGTTTTTTGCACATAAGAACAAGCTTATGGCAGTAGAGAAGAGAAATCTGGGCCCCTCAGGGTGCTCCTCTGGAACACTGAAGAATAACGTAGCAGAACTGGCATTGGGAGAGAGAAATAGCTAGAGAGTACACCTTACACTAAAATTCAAGACCTTCCACATTCTAACTTCACCCTAACTTTCTAATCTTACACAACTCCCCTTTCACTCTCTTAATGTTCCATTCAAACTGGACTACTGACCCTCCAGTTTCATCCTGTCTTTGTGCATTTGTGTACATTTGCTCAATTCCTGGAATGGAATTACTCTTCCATCTCTTTCTGTTGCAATCCTTTCTTCAAGATTCAGTTCAGCTGCCACCTCCTCCAGTGAGTCTTTCTCCCTTCCTTCACTAAAGAGAAGCAATGCTGCCCTTCAAATTTCTCATGCCATATTGGCTTCTTCCAGGTACTTAATCAGAGGCAGCTAGATGGCTCAGTGGATAGGGTGCTGAGCCTAGAATCAGGAAGACCTGAATTCAAATCCAGCCTCAGACATTTACTAGCTGTGTGATCCTGAGCAAGGCACTTAACCTCTGTTTGCCTTAATCCCCAGGAGAAGAAAATGACACCCTCCCCGTGTTTGCCAAGAAAACCCCATGAATGGTTTGGTCCATGAGGTCATAAGGATTTAGACATGACTGAACAACTAAACAACAGGTACTTAATCATATAATCATGTCACTTAATTAACCTTAACTTGTATTTTATGAGTATTCATTTCCTCCACAATTAATAGTAAGATTCTTATAGACAAAGACTACATCAATTATCATTTTCTCATTCCTTGGATATTCTTCTACTCTATTGTCATAATAACCTCAAAACTTCTTCAGCTACAAGGCTCACAGGATCATAGGTTTAGAGGAAGAGATGTCTGAGGCTAACTAGTTCAACTATCTCATTTTACAGATGAGGAAACTGAAGCCTAGAGAGGTTAAGTGAATTACCTAAGGCCACATATATATGTAATATGTCAAAGTTAGGATTTGAACCTAGGTCCTCTGATTTCACAGGTAGGTCCCTATAACTTTATTTTGATAGAGGCAGCTAGGTGACACAGTGGATGATACAGCACCAGCCCTGGAGTCAGGAGGACCTGAGTTCAAATTCAGCCTCAGACATATAACACTTACTGTATGACACTGGGCAAGTCACTTAACCCAAATTGCATCACCAAAAAAAAAATTATTTTGATAAAGTGTTGCATCTTGTTTGGCTTCTTGTGCCTTTCTATGCCTCGTGTTTCAACTTTATTCTCTGGATTTTATTATTTTAATATTCTAATTGTTATAATAAAATTTTACCCAAGTTGGTTTTTAAAATTATCCCAAGGCCAAAGCTATAAGCACAAAGTGTTTTGTTAAAATACATAAAAGACAGCAACAATTATGATCATGGTATAGTATACTACTAGAAAAAATTCAATTTTAGTAGATTTTTCTTTCTCCAAATACTACAAATCAGATTATATATGCTCTAATTCACCAAATTCAGCACCACTCACCAAGCATTTATTAAGTATTTCCTGTGCTCCAATCATCAGAGGCACGAAGAAGAAACACGCCCCAGCCCCTGCTATGATGGAGCTTTCTGTTGCATTCTATATAATGCAATTCAACAACTATCAGTAAACTCCTATTATGTGCAAGGAACACACTGTATCACAATCTAGGAGGGAAATGAGATACTTACTGCACTAAATATAATGTAGAAGCTCTTCATTACAACTACAATGTGAATACTATAGATGAAAGTACTGTGTGTCCTGATACAAATAAACTCATTGCTCAATTGGATTTCCTGACTCTATATACCATATGTGGCACGGTGATCCTTCTGGGCCTATTCTGCTGTTACTCTAAAATAACCTGCTATAAATCATCCAACATGTTCAGATTTTTTCACATAAATCTGAAAAAAAATCAGCATAGCTCAGATTTATGGAAAATGACATTTGAGAGAAAATGTGTTATTTTCTGAACACCGACAAAATTTTTTCCCCCCGAGGGGTGAAAAAAACCTCAGCATGTTTTTACTTTCTCCTACTGAAGAACAGAATACAGTTCTTGAAATTTGATCCAGGGTGTCCCAACAGTCTCAGCGCAATTTTAAGCTTCAATGGCTTAAAACCGTACTGACTTTTTGGAATACCTTGTTTTCCAGTGATTAAGAAAAGTTAAAGATTATAAAAATAGATCATGTATGCAGGAGTGTGGAAGGGCAAATGTCCCTAAACATCACAGGCATATTTCATTTCAATGTGATGTTTATTCTATTTCATGACACACTGTGTTTGGAATACGCACATTTATGTGTACACACAAAGTATATAATTACTGTCATTTTGTACATATACATATATGTATACATGTGTGTATATATGTGTGTGCACGCATGTGTGTATTTCTGAGAGAAGTGCCACTTTCAGATTGGTAAACACAACATTGAAATTCTCTTAAGAATAAAAATGAAGCAATAATCCTAAAGTGCCAATTTTTAAATAATCTATGCTTGCTATTATTATATTAATAGTCTGTTATTTTTTAAAAATTACTTCTTTCAATGATATATACTCTAGGTTCATTTTGCTTTTCAGAATAGAAATACTGATTACTCTTACTACAGCTCTGACTGTCATCATCATCATTATTACTATTACTGCTGCTGCTGAGTTCAGTTTTTAATTCCTCAAACCCATGAGCTTCAGCATTCTTTGATGACATATCTGTTCTCACACTGGTGACACTGGTACTGTTGTTGGAATTACTGGGAAAAGGAAAACGTGGAAGACTGTCATTGAATAGTAAGGGAGTCTGGATTAGAAACCAACTTGACAATTAGAATTAACTTTTCATTATAAATTAGTTGCAGTTATACTTAACCTGTGAAGCTGAAATTATATCTAACAATATAACTTACACTTGACTCTCCTGACATTTTTGGATCTGTACAGCACAACTAATACCTTAGGAGTTCTGGAAAAAAGAAAAACCTCTATCTGTGAGAGAAAAAATTCTTCCCAATTCATTCTCTCTTCCCTATCTTGGCCAATCTTGGTCAATTAGTTCAATTTTACACTTTCCTTCTCTCTCCTCTTTATCAAATTGTCAATTACATTCTGCTAAGTCTCAGCCTTGTGTAATTCCCAACATTTTTTTGCTTCATTCCTACATGTGTACTAATTACTGAAAAGAGTTTAAGACAATCATGCAACCATTCTGACTGCATCTACTACAAATTTATTTTACACAACTTTAAGTGGTTCCTCACTACTGAAAAGTAATCTTTCTTCATCTTCCTTACCAATTTTCATTTCCCTTTTCCTTTCCTTCCTCTTCCCCTTTCTTTTCTCCTTCTCCCTCCCTTCCCCTTTCATTATTCTTTCTTTCTCTCTCTCTCCCTTTCTTCTTTCTTTCCTTTCTTTCTGTCTTAGATGGCTAAAGCATTGAAACAGTCAGTGAATTACCCAGACTTACCTAATATTGTTGAAAAATATTTTCATAAATCAAGTATAAAATTAGGTGATCTTCTATTATGCTACAATACTATGAATACTAAAAATGAGCATACTATATGTATATATTAAAATTACTATATTATTCATGGTAAGAAATAAAATTATTTATAATTTTGTTTGTTTTTGTTAGGCAATGGGGTAGTAACTTGCCTGGGGTCACACAGTTGGTAAGTGTCAAGTATCTGAGGCCAAATTTGAACTCAGGTCCTCCTGACTCCAGAGTTGGTGCTCTATCCACTGTGCCACCTAGCTGCCCCAATAAAATGATTTAAACAGCCTCATAGAGCTTTGCACACTATATGGTTTAATAAGTTGTTGTTGGATTGAATTGCACTGAATGGGAAAAAAAAAGTTCCTTGAGTGCTAAGATTATGTCATATATGCATCTTTGTATTCCTAGCACCCAGCAAACTGCCTTGGACGTAAGAGATGATTAATAAATATCTAAAAAAGGCATGGGGAACTTGTAGCCTTGAGGCCACATGGGGCTCTCTACGTCTTCAAATGTGCCCCTTTGAATGAATCCAAACAATTTGTTCTGTGAAGTTTGAATTCAGGCAAAGGGCTGTACTTGAGGACCTAGAGGGCCACATGTAGTGTCCAGAAGATGACAATAATCATGGTGAGAGAACATAATAATAGTATGCCATAAGAAGACCAGTTTAAAGAAAGGATATAATTTACATAAAGAAGAAAAAAAAGCAGAGAGGAGATATGAAGCTGACTGCGAATATTTGAAAAGCTGTTATGAAAAGGGGATTATCCTTGTTTTTCAAAGCCACAGAGGACTAGACTTACAAGAAATGAACCGAATTTACAAAGGAAGATTTAAAGTGGATATAAAGAAGAGTTCCTAATTACTGGAGCTATCCCAGAATGGAATGGGTTGCCTTGGAAGGCAGTGATTTTCCCTTCACTGGGGGTCTTTTGGAAAAGGATGTGTGACTGCTCATTGGGGATGCTAGAGCAGGATCAAGTACGTTTGATTAGCTGGCATTCTGTCCCTTCTCTTAAGAGCCTGTGATTTGTTCTATTTTTTTAAGTCAGAGCTAATAATTATAATGGTCTTTAATTGGTCCTGTATGTTTCTTTCTCTGCAAATTGGCTATTTCTGTTATAATATATGTATATTCACATTGCCATATTAAAGGAATAGAGTTATGCACAGGCATAAAAGACATTAGAGGCACTTTAGAGGTTCTGAAAAGTCTACCAGAAAAAGAATAATTTACCTCTCTTATATTTGTAGTTATAGAACCATAAAATTTTAGAGCTGTAAGGGATCTTGGAGGCTATCTCTAAGTTATTTCACTATATAAATATGAGTTATTTTTGTCTCCATTAGTTAAAGCACAACCTTGTTCCAGGAAGACTCAATTAAGATTCAAATGCATCAACACCTTAGCACTGATTAGTTTATGGCATTAGTTGTCTACTAGTAACAAGGACCTTGAAGGAACAAATGTACAAATAAGACTATTAGCTCTTTCCAGGGAAGGTCTAGAACTTAGGTGGCTTCAACTATAACATGAGAATCTAGGGAAGAGTAATGGGAGCAATGGGTGTTCAAGGGAATTACACACATAAAATTTGTGCTGGGAGTCAGACCTATAAACAAATATGGAGGAAAGATGGATGAAAAGAAAATGCAAATTTAGTGGGATAACAAAAAAAAGTATAGTCATTCAACCTCTAGTTCAGTATATCTATGTCAATTTTTGATTATTTTAATATAATTAATTTTGATTATTTAATTTTAATATTAAACATAACTTTCTATAAGAATTCTATAAGAATTTATTCTTATTCTTTTTCTATAAGAATTTGGCTTCTGTTTGCCTGAAACACTCACTGTATCTATTCTCTGAGATAAGAAAACTTTTGCTCCTAGGTACATGGAGCAAATAAAATTCATTCTGTGGCCCATCTTTTGGGGTCAATCCCCCCCAATCATTATCAGTCATGTTCTATCACTTTATGATGCTATTGTTGTTATGATATCACCTGTGTTGAATTTTTTGAAAATTTCATTTCAAAATTTAGCTGGAGCATAATCACATGGCTTTCTGTA